CTCGGCTGCCGCTCGTTGCGACACGGCGGTTGCTCAACCGGGCGGGAGGAGGGCTCTGCCCCGCTCCCCGGCGCGGGGGAAGGTGTGGGCAGCGGCCGGGTGCCGGGGGGAGGGCTCGGGCCCCGGCGGCGGTGACCGGGTGACCGGAGGCCCCGCTGCGCCCGAGCGCGCGGCGGTAACGGCCGCCTCAACAAGTGGCTGGCGCGCGCGGCCCGGGACGGCGGGTCCTTGTGCCCCCCGGCCTGGCCCCCGGCGAGAGCGGCCCTGGCGCCGGGGAGGGACGGGGTAGGGGTGTCTCCAGGTGCTCAGCGCCGCCGGCTCCGGGAGGGTTCTCCGGACAAGCTCCGTCTGTGCTTCCTGCCTAGAGATTGTTTTAATTTTTTTATTTTATTTTTTTTTCCCCCCAAGTTGCGCGTTCTTAATGCTTTGTAAGGGACGTGCAGTGTCGTCGACGCTCCTGGCTGTGTTCGGCCGAATTCGTGAGCGCTGCTCTCCTGCCGAACCGCAGGAATTGGTGTGGCGAAGCGCGTTTCCCGTGCGGTGCCGGTTCCCTGCGCAGCGCGGAGCGGGCAGGGCTCACAGCTCCCCTCCGGCGCTCTCGGCGGGCAGCTGAGCCCTCCCGCAGCCGAGGACCTGGCGCCGTGTGAGGGGGGGAATAAATCTTCATTAGTCCCAAAGAGTTCCTGAAAGAGAAACGGAAACCTTTCATGCCAGAATCCCTGGTTTGTCCAGCTCCGATGCATGTGCGCTTACGGACTGATGCTGGATACCTTCCAAAATCAAGAAAGCTTAGGTTTTGTGGGTTTGGTTTTTTTTTTTGTGTTTTTTCTCCAGAACTTTCTGCACTTACAGCCTTTCCTTGTCACTGCTGATGAGTTTTGTTCATCTGGAATTGACAACTGTAGCCAAAGTCAATGTTACATACTCTCTTAAGTCAGTGCTGCTGTTACACTGTTGGTATTGCACTTTACTCAGGCTTAGGAAGTTCTTGAAGCTGGGCATTACTAGAAACCCCAGTAACTAGTTTATCTATGTTTTCAGGACTGTAGTTTAGGGTTCAAAGTTACATGAATAGACGGAAGATGTCACAGAAATTTGGTCGGCCCGTGGTTTGCAGTATTAGCTAGGCACTCCCACAACTGTAGGTTTTCAAAGATAAATTAAAAGGTGAAACAAAACTTTATAATACACTTGCTTTTAGGAAAATCGCATATAGAGAAATACTGAATGCCCATAGACTTGGTGAGGGGTTGGGAGGCCTACTGGAATTCATTAGGGTGGCTGCGGAATCAATCGCCAGGTCACTTGGAAACTTGGGTCTAGAAGCTTCAGTTCAGACTGGTGATGGTTTTCCAGGCTTTGGAATTTTCATACCAGCAAACAATGCTTTTCAGATGAGTGAGAGAAAGAAACGGATTATTGAACAGAAATTCTTTGGTGAATGTTTTTTGGCCTTTCTTAAAATAATAGCAGGGATATCAGTAATATCAACAATGTTTTGTTGTGGATTGACCTGGAAACATGTTTGGATGGGGTTTTAACCTGTAATTATGTCGTTTTAAACATTTTTTTAAAAAGGAACTTCCTCCATGCATGGTCTTAAAAATATTTTTGTTGATGTCTAGTTAAATATCTGTTTGTCTTGAATAAAAATCACTTCCGTTAAGTCAGGTTTCACTTCCTTGGAATATCTGATGTCATAAATTTGCTAGTTCTCCAATTGTCTATTGACTTGTGGCACAACTCCAAACTCTAGTGCATGAAAGCCTTTGGAAAGAAAAAAAAAAAGGTCTGTCTTTGATTCTTGTGGTACAGTAAGGAGAGAACGTATCTTGCCTCTTTTTCCTGATTTCTCCACTCTTTTCCCTTTTTCAGCAGTTGAACATAGAGTCAATAGACTTGTGAGATGTTGCGCTTGCACACTGTTGCAAATGTGAAATTTAAAAACAAAATCCAGTAACAATACAAATGGTCAGAATGCTATGTATAGGAGGAGGGTGCAGGAAAAATGCTAACTTATTGTTGAGAAGTTGGGTGGAAACGCGTGCTGGTGTTTCGGTGGTTTAGCTGGAAAGCTGGTATTATGTCTGGGTGACCAGGGGCAGGGGGTTCAAGTAGCTGAAGTGCTTTTTCATAGATCTAGAGATACATGTGGAAGCTTTGCCCTTGGTTCTATAAGAGTTGCCACCAGTTAACTTATCTGAAAATAAATAGGTGGGTTGTTGGGCTGTGGAATGTGGCATTGTATTTTATGCAAAGTCCATGGGGTTGCTTGGCTTTGTGGTGGACTTTCTGACTTGCCACACTTAGTAGCAGCAGCAGCCCCTTCAGCTGTGAAATTAACCCTTTCTCACAACTGGTGGTTTCTGTGAAAGCAGGCCAGGAGAGAGAAATCTGAAATAAGTGTCATTTACACAGTTAGGTAGAAAAACTTGTTTGGGTTATTTTGTTGTTGTGGGTTTTTTTTTTTTTTTTTTTTTTTGTAAATGTGTGTTTGTTTTCAAACTGATACCCTTGGAGCAGTGACACATGTGGTGTTTCACACTACATCTCTATCTCAATTAACTTGCTGCAGAATATGAGGACTTTGAATCATGAAAAAAATAATTCATTATTAGTGTCTGAGTCCATGAAACAAGTTGTTTTGCAGCAGCACTGTTAGTCCTCGGAGTTGCTCACCGTGTGAAAGTTTCAGTGTGTTTTGTTTTGATAACTATATCAGATCAAGTGGCAAAAATAATCTTGCATTAGAGATTGAACAGGTTTTTTTAAAATAAAGTTTTAGAAATCACAGTAGTAACTTGTAAGCAGGCAGTTTTGCTGTGGGTTGGCAAGGTGTGTATTTATGATCACAGATTAACAGCAGGTAACAAAGTGGTGGATCTGTCAATCAGAGATTCTGCAAGGTTAAGATTACGTGGTTTTGTATAATGCCTGAAGTACCGGTTAGTTTATGTGTAACAGTGGCCAATCTGTCAAATTTACATGGATAAATCTTTATATCTCAACTTTTGGTGGAAATAAATTCAGGAATGTGGTTCCATTTACATATCTTAGAATTGCAGAGTGAGGCCCTCATGTGCAAATGCTTGTGGATATGTAGCTACCAAAATAATTGAATTTACATATTGGCTTCAGAAGATTAAAGAAACAAATAGTGACACTGATATGTCAAAGAAAAGCTTTCTTTGAGAAGTAGGATTGGAGCAATTATACTGTCTCCCACTGATATTTTTTTCTTGGGTTGGGACTATGCACATTGTTTATTTGTTTTGGTTTTGGCAGTGTTAGGTAGCCCAAGTTTAATTGCTAGTATGCTACAGAATATGGCCTTTTGGAAATTTGTACCCAAATGGAGGACTTAGACTGTCCTCCAATACCTTCTTTGCTTCTTCCACTTCATGGCTTTGGCCACAAAATGCCACAAATCTTCTGCAGTTGCATTCAAAAGGGGAAAGAAAAGAGGCTGGGCGAGGGCAGCTGTGAGAACTTTGGTTATTTAGTTTCTTACCTTAGATACTCTTGATTTAAAATTGTGAATTAATTGAACTTGGGAGTAATTTTGGGTCTTCAGAGCTAAATCTATCTATTTATCTAAAATATATAATTAGGTTTTATGTTTACTTTTTAAAAAGGGTAATAGTGATGCTCTATAATACTATACTTCTATAATTTAAGTAGTACTATAATTTTTCTCTTGCTGGAAATAAACCTAATATAAATTTGCTACTCAAGTTTTGTTTCAAAATTTTCAAACTTGCATATTTCTGATAAGTAGTGTTGTGTTAAATATTCACTGTGAAACTGAATGCAAAAGGGTGCTCTTCTGTTTTCAGAATATCTTCTTATTACTTGCAAGGCTATTCTGATTTTTAGAACAGCTTTGTGAATTCTGCATCAAATGTCTTAAAGGAACTCTATCAGCGGTATCAGTGTCTAGTTTTATGCTTGTGTAACTTAACTCTGCTTGTTGCTCTAACACTGAACGGTTTTACTTCCCATGTTAAGTTGATAAGTGATCCCCAGATTTTTTACTACTTTTTTTTTTTTTTTTTTTTTAAACAGAATATTTGC